CATGATATCTTTCTTGGAAAATATCCAGTTTTGCTATTCTTTCCAGGAGACCTCAAGCAAGATTCCAGATGAGGCTGTACCACAGCTCGGGATGAGGAGAGAATAATCTATTAGGTTTTTCCCCACTGTTCTCCCAGTGACACCTCGTACTTTATTGCACTTAAAAAAAAAATAACAGCAACACATTAGACTTTATATCATTGTCTACAGTGACTTTCTGAAGGCACAAATGGACTTCTCAGAGCCCATCACTTTGGAGCAAAATAGCTTTGGATCATGCTATATCATTCCACTCACCATCTTTTTCCAGACTACCATTCCTATCTCTGGCCACCATTCTGCTATGTAGGTTGTCTCCCCATGAGAATGTAAACTTGTAAAGAGCGAGAATTATCTCACTTTTGTATTTGTAGCATGTCTGGAACACAGTGTTTAAAAAATATTTTTGCATTCATTCACTCACTCATTCATTAACTTTCCTCAAACACATTCCTTTAAACTTGCCCATCCAGAAATTCCCATGCCAAATTTTCATCGGGTCACCAACTCTTCAAGTGCTTCTTGTGGTTGTCCCAACAGACCTGGCATTTGGCTACTTGGAAAAGCTTGATGTGATCTGCACCCTGGAGGTTTCTCTGTGCATGCCTCTTCCAAGTTGTTTGTAACAATGGGAAATTAGGTAAGTCCCTGAGAGATTCCTCTGTTTACACTTTTCCAACCAGAGCCATGGCTCCATCACTGATGTGTTTGTGTGTCCCTGTATCTGTGAACATAGCCATGTGCACATAAGGAATCTGAGCAGTCTTCCAGAAAGAGAATAGTGAAGGGAAATGGGAAGAGACAAAGACCAGAAGATCAAGACCATTAAGTCCAATCTCTTCACTTTCCCTAAGCAGAGACCGAAGCCTGTGGAGACTAGCTTAAGGTCACCTGGGCAGTGAGTGGCAGAGTGAAGACTTGCAGCTACTTTCTCTGACTCCAAATCCAGCCCTTCTGGGTTTAACTATGATCCCCATGCCAATGGAAGACATAGACTTGCAGCTTGTAGAACCCTGAATATACTAGGTCTTCCCCTCCTCCCCCATGTCAGCTTCATAAGTAGACTAGTAAAATACAATCAAAATTTCAGGTCCTTGAGGGCAGGGACTGTTTTAATCATGATCTCTGTGTCTCTACCACCAAGCACAATGCCTGAAACATACTGGTAGACACTCAATAAATGTTCATTGGATTGGACTGAACTGATTGATCTGTAGGAGGGCAGAGATGCTACCCCGAAATGTTCCTTTATTCTTCCAGGGGATAGGAAGAAGAGACGCTCTGTCACTATCTCAGCAGACCAACCTTTTAAGCAATACCCATGATGTCCAAAAGCACAGCAGTAACAAAGACAGGAAATTACCCTGGTAATTATCACAAGAAGGCAGCAGCATAGCCCAGTGGAAGCTGGGGTCAGAGGACCAGGGTTCAAAACCCCACCTTGCCCCACACTAGCTGTGTGACCTTGGGGTCAGTCACCCTCCCAGAACTTGCTTCTTTATCTGTATAATGAGGGGCAGCTAGGTGACACTGGGTCTGGAGTCAGGAAGACCTGAGTTCAAATCCAGCCTCAGATACCAGCTGTGTGATCCTGGGCAAGTCATTTAATACTATCTTCCTCGGTTTCTTCATCTGTAAAATGAGTTGGAGAAGGAAATGGCAAATCATTCCAGTATCTTTGCCAAGAAAAGCCCAGATGGGGTCACAAAGAGTTGGACACAGCTGAATAACAACAAACTAATGAGGAACTAGATGATCACTAAGGTCCCTTCCAGCTGTTAACCTATCATGGTAAGCATAAAAAAACCACCCGTTCACCTTGGATGCCAACCAGTTTTTCTCCAAATGATCCAGATTGCTAGCCGGCAATGCCTTGAATCATGGCCCTGGTGAATAATGCAACTGGTCCAACCCTTCACCCTAGACTAGACACCCTAGGACCCTGATACCAGACCTTCCTGTTTACGTTACCAGTCAACCACTTGGCAGGTATTTTGGGGGAAAGGCCTATGTGCCTAGCCATCACACTCACTTGCTGAAAGCTGGAAGAAACCTTAGGATCCATCTAGTCTGACCCTCCTCATTCGGCATATTAGGAAACTGAGGCACAGGGATAATAACTTATCCAAGATCACACTCATAATCACCACCAGATTTGCACCTGGGTCTTCTGTCTCTAGAGTCAAGGCTCCCTCTATCATCGCCCCCTGTAGGCTGCTATCCCACAGGGCAGCCCTAAAAGCTCCCCTTCCTTAGAAAGCTCACTCCAACAAATTCCCTCTATTTCCATCCCCACCCCTCCACTTAAGCTTCCTAACCTCCCCACTATGTCTATGACTGATTGGGAACCTACGACTGTCCTGTTTAACTGCTCTTTCCAGCTACTGATGATGAGAATGGCTAGGACGAGCAGGCTCAGTAAAGACGACCAATCCCACAAGGGACCCAAAATAGGACTTGTGCCCCAACCTTCAGCTTGGCCTCTCTCGGATTTGCCAAACAAACTCTTCATAATTCAATTCATTAATTCAAATGAAATGTCCACTTCTGTTTAATAAAGGATGAAGATCTCTTAACAATGTGCTTTTTCCCCTGGCAACCCTTAGCAGGGTCATTACTTAATTACACAAAAATATTTCAAAATTTTGAAAACCGACAATTTCTAGAGTTTACTTTGTGTCAGCAGAAAGCAGCTGTTCCCCAGAGTTCCTATTGCCAAGATTATGGTGGAAATGATCATTAGAATCCTTTTTTTTTAAATTTTATTTAATGATTCTAAGGACGTGACAAAAAAAAATATAGGCCAAACACCTCCAACAAAGGTGGAATTCTGATTAAGCAGCTCATTAAGTTCAATTCATTCCAGAATGATAGACAACAGGAAAGTAATGAAAGGCCTTGGGCTGCTCAGTCCCTTAAAAAGCCCAACAACAAACATTACCTGAAGCTTCCAGACCCGATAAGTGTTTGTTTTAGGAACTGGTGTCTGGATTGGATTCCTCACTTTCATTTTATAATTTTAAAACATCTCTGTGTGTGTGTGTGTGTGTGTGTGTGTAAATCAACTAACAGCCTAGAATGGTGTCTTATATACCCAGCCCAATATGTGTATTTGTGTAAGTATGTATCCAACTCTATGTTTATAGATGCACAAGGTTAGGTAAAAACAAATATGCATACACACAAACATACATGCACATAGGGCACAGATGTATACATATATTTAAATATGCATGCATGCATAGACACATACATATAGGGTTGGGGTTGTACACATATATAGCAATGTAGGTCTGGGTGTATACTTTTATATATTCATACAGATGCATACACATGTGCCTAAATATATAAACAAATTATGTTGGTTATAAATACATAAAGGATTTTTGCAGTTAAATACACACGGTATAACACATGTGTATATGTGTGTGCATATACTTTATTTCCACATATACATATATAGAAATATATGCACACACAGTTACCCTGATGTAAGGCTAGTTATAAGCTCTTGTATATACACACATACATATATATTCATATATAAGCATACATAGGGTTGGATAGGTGCACGTATATGCATTTATATATATATATGCATGAACACAATATACAATTAAGTACTCACAAATACAAATACAAATTTAAGGTCAAATATAAACACACATATGTATGTGCATATACACAGGTCCCTAAACACATCTCTGATTTACACACATCTCTCTATCTATCTATCTATCTATCCATCTATCTATGTCTGTCTATTCACACACACACCCCTCTAGAGGCTTGGCTGTTGAAAGCAACCCCCCAAACTACCAGCTGACTTCAGTACCCCTCCTAGCTGCAGCCACACTTTCTTAGTTGTGTCTAAAAGCTTTGTCTGACAAACGAGACCCACAGCTCCATTCGTGGGTTCCCAAGGGTGGTTTGGAGAAGGGGGAGGGGGAAGAGGGGAAAAGAGGAGAGCAAGAGAGAGGAAAGGGAGGGGAGAGAGCAAGAGAGAGAGCGAGAGAGGGGAGAGACAGAAAGACAGACAGAGACAGAGAGAGGGTGAGAGGGAGGGAGGGAAGGAGGAGGGGGGGGAGACAGAAAGACAGAGACAGAGAGAGGGTGAGAGGGAGGGAGGGAAGGAGGGAGGAAGAGACAGAGAGAGAGAGAGAGAGAGAGAGAGAGAGAGAGAGAGAGAG